TTCCCATTTTTCCCCCAATTTTTCCCATTTTTCCCCCAATTTTTCCCATTTTTTTGGCAATTTCTCCCTTTTTTTCCCCCATTTTTTCCCCCAATTTTTTCCCAAATTTTCCCCATTTTTTCCCTTTTCCCCCCCCCAATTTTTCCCCATTTTTTCCCCCCATTTTTTCCCCTTTTTTTTCCAATTTTCCCATTTTTCCCCCCAATTTTTTTCCCATTTTTCTCCCCAATTTTACCCCAATTTTTTCCTTTTTTTCCTTCTAATTTTTCCCATTTTTTTCCCTAATTTTCCCATTTTTCCCAATATTTTTTCCCAATTTTTTCCCCCAATTTTATCCCAAATTTTCCCAATTTTCCCCCAGTTTTACCTCGTAGAGCTCCAGGGGGTAATTGCTGGCCTGGAAGAGACCAAAAAATTCGGGAATTCCGGGAATTCTGGGAATTTTTGGGTGGATTTTGGGGAATTTTGGGGATTTTTGGGAATATTTGGGTGGATTTTGGAGAATTTTGGGGATTTTTGGGAATATTTGGGGATTTTGGGGATTTTTGGGAATATTTGGGTGGATTTTGGGGAATTTTGGGGAATTTTGGGAATATTTGAGTGGATTTTGGGGAATTTTGGGAATTTTTGGGAATATTTGGGTGGATTTTGGAGAATTTTGGGGATTTTTGAGTGGATTTTGGGGAATTTTGGGGAATTTTGGGAATATTTGAGTGGATTTTGGGGAATTTTGGGAATATTTGGGTGGATTTTGGGGAATTTTGGGAATATTTGGGTGGATTTTGGGGAATTTTGGGGAATTTTGGGAATATTTGGGTGGATTTTTGGGAATTTTGGGGATTTTTGGGAATATTTGGGTGGATTTTTGGGAATTTTGGGGATTTTTGGGAATATTTGGGTGGATTTTGGGTATTTTTGGGAATATTTGGGTGGATTTTTGGGAATTTTGGGGATTTTTGGGAATATTTGGGTGGATTTTTGGGAATTTTGGGGATTTTTGGGAATATTTGGGGATTTTGGGGATTTTTGGGAATATTTGGGGATTTTGGGGTGGATTTTTTGGGAATTAATGGGAATTAATGGGAATTTTTGGGAATTTTGGGGCGATTTTGGGGGAATTTTGGCCTTTCCCAGGTGGAATTTTTTTGTGTCTTCAAAGCTTTGGAGTTTTGGGAATTTTGGGGGAATTTTTGGGGATTTTTGGGGATTTTTTTAGGGGTTTTTTGGTTTTTTGGGGATTTTTTGAGTATTTCTTGGGGGGTTTTTAATGGAATTTTCTGGAGCTTTTTTTTCAGGAATTTTGGGAATTTTTTAGGAAATTTTGGGGATTTTTTTGGGTTTTTTTTGGCTTTGGGGGGATTTTTTTAGGGAATTTTTTGGAGCTTTTTTGGGGGGAGAATCTTGGGAATTTTTTGGGAATTTTGTGAATTTTTTGGGGGGAATTTTTTGGAATTCTTGGGGGGAATTTTTGGAATTTTTTGGGGAATTTTGGGAATTTTTGGGGGGAATTTTGGGAATTTTTGGGACTTTTTTGAGGTTTTTTTGTTTTTTTAGGGATTTTTTGAGTATTTTTGGGGGGGTTTTAATGGAATTTTCTGGAGCTTTTTTTTTTGGGAATTTTGGGAATTTTTTAGGAATTTTTGGGAATTTTTTTTGGGAATTCTGGGGCTCCCAAACCTCGAATTTTGGGCGGAGGCCGCAGTCGTCGGTGTCGGCCACGGGGACGTTGTAATATTCCCCCTCCTCCTGATTCAGCAGCTTGAACCTGGAATTCCGGGAATTTTTTGGGAATTCTTGGGAATTCCGGGAATTTTTGGGAAGTTCCAGCCCCAAAAATCCCGAAATTCCCGTAAAAATCCGCTCGGATTTCCCCAAAAAACGTCGGGAAAAGGGAAAAAAATGAGAGAAAAATGAGGTTTTTCATGGAATTCCCGGATTTTTCTTGGAATTCCTGGGGAAAATCGCTCCATGAATTTCCAGCCATTTCTCCCGAAAAATCCCTGGAAAAATTCCCAAAAATTCCCCCCAAAAAAACCACCCCAAAATCCTGATTTTCCTCCCCAAAAATTCCCCAAAAATTCCCAAAAATCCCAATTTTCCCAAATTCCTCTCCTGAGTCACCAAACCCTCCCAAAAATTCCTAAAAAATTCCCAAAAAATCCCAAAAAAATCCCCCAAAAAACCCCAAAAATTCAAATTTTTCCCCGAAAGACTCCCCAAAAAATCCCCAAAAATTAAAAAAAAAATCCCCAAAAAAATCCCAAAAAATCCCAAAAAATTCCCCAAAAAATCCCAAAAAATTCCCAAAAAATCCCCCAAAATTCCCAAAAAATCAAAAAAAAATCCCCAAAAAATCCAAAAAAATCCCCAAAAAATCCCCAAAAATCCCCCCAAAAATCCCAAAAAATCCCCAAAAAATCCCCAAAAATTCCCAAAAAAATCCCAAAAAAATCCCAAAAAATCCCCAAAAAATCCTCCAAAAAAATCCCAAAAAATGCCCAAAAAAGCCCAAAAAATCCCCAAAAAATCCCCAAAAATTCCCCAAAAATAAATCCCAAAAAATCCCCAAAAAATCCTCCAAAAAAATCCCAAAAAATGCCCAAAAAAGCCCAAAAAATCCCCAAAAAATCCCCAAAAATTCCCCAAAAATTCCCAAAAAATCCCAAAAAATCCCAAAAAAATCCCCAAAAAATCCCCAAAAAATCCCCAAAATTCCCCAAAAAATCCCAAAAAAATCCCCCAAAATTATTCCCAAAAAATTCCCAAAAAATCTCCAAAAAAATCCCAAAAAATCCCCAAAAATTCCCCAAAAATCCCCCCCAAAAATCCAAAAAAAATCCCCAAAAAATCCCCAAAAATCCCCAAAAATCCCCAAAAATCCCCAAAAAATCCCCAAAAAATCCCCAAAAAATCCCAAAAAAATCCCAAAAATTCCCAAAAATTTCCCCAAGAATTCCCAGTTTTTTACCATCCATCCACGTGACCCTTGAGCAGCTCAGCCACCCCGAAGCTCATGGCTCCCATGAAATCGTTCCGGGACGTTCGATCCCAATCCCAAACCTCGACCGAGAGGCGCCGCTCGGAATCCCCCGGGCGGAGATTGCTGCGGAAAAACGGGAATTTCGGGAAAATCCCGGAGATCCCTGGACATTCCCAACTTTTCCCCCTTTTCCCCCCTTTCATTCCCATTTTTTCCTGATTTTTCCCGATTTTTTTTGCATTTTTTCCCATTTTTTTCCCCATTTTTCCATGGATTTTTCCCAGGATTTTTCCCTGAATTTTTCCCAGGATTTTCCCATTTTTTCCCCTGAATTTTTCCCATTTTTCCCCATTTTTCCCTGAATTTTCCCCCTGTTTTTCCCTGAATTTTCCCCTGAATTTTCCCCCGTTTTTTCCCATTTTCCCCCATTTTTCCATGAATTTTTCCCAGGATTTTTCCCTGGATTTTCCCCTGAATTTTTCCCATTTTCCCCTGAATTTCCCCTGAATTTTCCCCCGTTTTTTCCCATTTTTCCATGGATTTTTCCCTGAATTTTCCCCTGAATTTTTCCCTGATTTTTTCCCTGAATTTTCCCCTGAATTTTCCCCCATTTTTTCCCATTTTTCCCCATTTTTCCCTGGATTTTTCCCAGGATTTCCCCGTTTTTCCCCAAATTTTCCCCCCATTTTCCCCTGAATTTCCCCCTGAATTTTCCCCCGTTTTTTCCCATTTTCCCCCATTTTTCCATGGATTTTTCCCTGGATTTTTCCCTGAATTTTTCCCCTGGATTTTCCCATTTTTCCCTGAATTTTTCCCAATTTTTCCCATTTTTCCCTGAATTTTTCCCATTTTTCCCCTGAATTTTCCCCTGAATTTTCCCCCGTTTTTCCCCATTTTTCCCCATTTTTCCATGGATTTTTCCCTGATTTTTCCCTGAATTTTTCCCCCATTTTCCCCTGAATTTTCCCCTGAATTTTCCCTCGTTTTTTCCCATTTTTTCCCATTTTTCCATGGATTTTTCCCAGGATTTTTCCCAGGATTTTCCCCTGAATTTTCCCCTGAATTTTCCCCTGAATTTTCCCCCATTTTTTCCCATTTTTCCCCATTTTTCCATGGATTTTTCCCAGGATTTTTCCCTGAATTTTCCCCTGAATTTTTCCCTGATTTTTTCCCTGATTTTCCCCTGAATTTCCCCCTGAAGTTTTCCCAGGATTTTCCCATTTTTCCCCATTTTTCCATGGATTTTTCCCAAGATTTTTCCCTGAAATTTTCCCCCCTTTTCCCCTGAATTTTTCCCCATTTTTCCCTGGATTTTTCCCAGGATTTTTCCCTGAATTTTTTCCCAGGATTTTCCCATTTTTCCCTCAATTTTCCCCTGAATTTTTCCCAGGATTTTCCCCCATTTTTTCCCATTTTCCCCTGAATTTTCCCCTGAATTTTCCCCCGTTTTTTCCCATTTTTCCCCATTTTTCCCAGGATTTTTCCCAGGATTTTCCCCTGGATTTTCCCCCGGTTTTTCCCATTTTTCCCAGGATTTTTCCCTGAATTTTCCCCTGAATTTTCCCCCGTTTTTTCCCATTTTTTCCCATTTTTCCCTGCATTTTTCCCTGAATTTTTCCCCTGGATTTTCCCTCGTTTTTCCCATTTTCCCCTGAATTTTCCCCTGAATTTTCCCCTGAATTTTTCCCAGGATTTTCCCATTTTTCCCTGAATTTTTCCCATTTTCCCCTGAATTTTCCCCCATTTTCCCCCGTTTTCCCCCATTTTTCCATGGATTTTTCCCAGGATTTTTCCCTGAATTTTCCCCTGAATTTCCCCCTGAATTTTCCCCCGTTTTTCCCCGTTTTTTCCCATTTTTCCCAGGATTTTCCCATTTTTCCATGAATTTTCCCCTGAATTTTCCCCCGTTTTTTCCCATTTTTCCCCATTTTTCCCTGGATTTTTCCCAGGATTTTTCCCTGAATTTTTTCCCAGGATTTTCCCATTTTTCCCTCAATTTTCCCCTGAATTTTTCCCAGGATTTTCCCCCATTTTTTCCCATTTTTCCCCTGAATTTTCCCCTGGATTTTCCCCCCTTTTTCCCCATTTTTCCCCATTTTTCCATGGATTTTTCCCTGATTTTTCCCTGAATTTTTCCCCCATTTTCCCCTGAATTTTCCCCTGAATTTTCCCTCGTTTTTTCCCATTTTTTCCCATTTTTCCATGGATTTTTCCCAGGATTTTTCCCAGGATTTTCCCCTGAATTTTCCCCTGAATTTTCCCCTGAATTTTCCCCCATTTTTTCCCATTTTTCCCCATTTTTCCATGGATTTTTCCCAGGATTTTTCCCAGGATTTTCCCATTTTTCCCTGAATTTTTCCCATTTTCCCCTGAATTTTCCCCTGAATTTTCCCCCATTTTTCCCCATTTTTCCCTGCATTTTTCCCAGGATTTTCCCATTTTTCCATGAATTTTCCCCTGAATTTTCCCCCGTTTTTCCCCATTTTTCCCTGGATTTTTCCCAGGATTTTCCCATTTTTCCATGAATTTTCCCCTGAATTTTCCCCCGTTTTTTCCCATTTTTCCCCATTTTTCCCTGGATTTTTCCCAGGATTTTTCCCTGAATTTTTTCCCAGGATTTTCCCATTTTTCCCTCAATTTTCCCCTGGACTTTCCCCTGAATTTTTCCCCGTTTTTCCCCATTTTCCCCTGAATTTTCCCCTGAATTTTTCCCCATTTTTCCCATTTTTCCATGGATTTTTCCCAGGATTTTTCCCTGAAATTTTCCCCCCTTTTCCCCTGAATTTTTCCCCATTTTTCCCCGTTTTTCCCCTGGATTTTCCCCTGGATTTTTCCCACATTCCCCTGGATTTTTCCCGTTTTTCCCCTGGATTTTTCCTGTTTTTCCCCTGAATTTTCCCCTGAATTTTTCCCCCGTTTTCCCCAGTTTTTCCCATTTTTCCCCATTTTCCCCTGAATTTTTCCCCCGTTTTTCCCCTGGATTTTTCCCGTTTTTCCCCCGGATTTTTCCCGTTTTTCCCCTGGATTTTTCCCGTTTTTCCCCATTTTTCCCGTTTTTCCCCCTTTTTCTCTCACAAGAGGAAGGCCTCGTTCCACACCGGGTTCAGCGTCGCCTTCACCGTCCTCGTTTTCTGCTTGGAGACGTTTTTGGGATCCGGGATCAGCTTCAGCTTCACGTAGGGATCCGAGAGCCCGTTGGGATCCATGGGGATCAGGTTCCGGGCCTCGCCCACTGCGGAATTCCAGGAAAAAAATGGGAATTTTGGGGAAAAAATGGGAATTTTAGCAAAAAAAATGGAGATTTTAGGTCAAAAAATGGAGTTTTTATGGGAAAAAATTGGGATTTTTAGGGAATTTTAGGGAATTTTTTGGGATCTGGGATCCAAAAGAGAATTGGGATCCATCGGGATCAGGTTCTGGATCCCTTCCACTGGAAAATTCTGGAATTCTGGGAAAAAACGGGGAAAAAAATGGGAATTTTAGCACAAAAAATGGAGTTTTTAGGTCAAAAATTGGGATTTTTAGGGGATTTTTGGGAATTTTAGGGAATTTTAGGGAATTTTTTGGGATTTGGGATCCAAAAGAGAGGTTCTGGATCCCATCCACTGGAAAATCCTGGAATTCTGGGGAAAAAATGGGAATTTTAGGGGAAAAAATGGGAATTTTAGGAGAAAAATGGGATTTTTAGGGGATTTTTGGGATTTTTTATAGGAATTTTTGGGATCTGGGATTCCAGGATTTGGGATCCATGGGGATCAGGTTCCGGGCCTCACCCACTGCGGAATTCCAGGAAAAAATGGGAATTTTGGGGAAAAAATGGGAATTTTAGCAAAAAAAATGGAGTTTTTAGGTCAAAAAATGGAGTTTTTAGGAGAAAAAATGGAGTTTTTATGGGAAAAAATTGGGATTTTTAGGGAATTTTAGGGAATTTTTTGGGATTTGGGATTCAAAAGAGAGGTTCTGGATCCCTTCCACTGGAAAATTCTGGAATTCTGGGGAAAAAATGGGAATTTTAGGGGAAAAAATGGGAATTTTAGGGGAAAAAATGGAGTTTTTAGGGGGATAAATGGGAATTTTAGGGAATTTTTGGGATCTGGGATTCCAGGATTTGGGATCTATCGGGATCAGGTTCCGAGCCTCGCCCACTGCAGAATTCCAGGAAAAAAATGGGAATTTTAGGGGAAAAAATGGAGTTTTTAGGGGGAAAAATGGGAATTTTTTGGGATTTGGGATCCAAAAGAGAGGTTCTGGATCCCTTCCACTGGAAAATTCTGGAATTCGGGGGAAAAAATGGGAATTTTAGGGGAAAAAATGGGAATTTTAGGAGAAAAATGGGATTTTTAGGGGATTTTTGGGATTTTTTATAGGAATTTTTGGGATCTGGGATTCCAGGATTTGGGATCCATCGGGATCAGGTTCCGAGCCTCGCCCACTGCAGAATTCCAGGAAAAAAATGGGAATTTTGGGTGAAAAAACGGGAATTTTAGCAAAAAAAATGGAGTTTTTAGGTCAAAAAATGGAGTTTTTATGGAAAAAATGGGAATTTTTTGGGATCTGGGATCCAAAAGAGAATTGGGATCCATCGGGATCAGGTTCTGGATCCCTTCCACTGGAAAATTCTGGAATTCTGGGGAAAAAATGGGAATTTTAGCAAAGAAAATGGAGTTTTTAGGTCAGAAATTGGGATTTTTAGGGCATTTTTGGGATTTTTGAGGGAATTTTTGGGATCTGGGATTCCAGGATTTGGGATCCATGGGGATCAGGTTCCGAGCCTCGCCCACTGCGGAATTCCAGGAAAAAATGGGAATTTTGGGGAAAAAATGGGAATTTTAGCAAAAAAAATGGAGTTTTTAGGTCAAAAAATGGAGTTTTTAGGAGAAAAAATGGAGGTTTTATGGGAAAAAATGGGAATTTTTTGGGATTTGGGATCCAAAAGAGAGGTTCTGGATCCCTTCCACTGGAAAATTCTGGAATTCGGGGGAAAAAATGGGAATTTTAGGGGAAAAAAAGGAGTTTTTAGGTCAAAAATTGGGATTTTTAGGGGATTTTTGGGATTTTTTAGGGAATTTTTGGGATCTGGGATTCCAGGATTTGGGATCCATCGGGATCAGGTTCCGAGCCTCGCCCACTGCAGAATTCCAGGAAAAAAATGGGAATTTTAGGGGAAAAAATGGAGTTTTTAGGGGGATAAATGGGAATTTTTTGGGATCTGGGATCCAAAAGAGAATTGGGATCCATCGGGATCAGGTTCTGGATCCCTTCCACTGGAAAATTCTGGAATTCTGGGAAAAAACGAGGAAAAAAATGGGAATTTTAGCACAAAAAATGGAGTTTTTAGGTCAAAAATTGGGATTTTTAGGGGATTTTTGGGATTTTTTAGGGAATTTTTGGGATCTGGGATTCCAGGATTTGGGATCCATGGGGATCAGGTTCCGGGCCTCGCCCACTGCAAAATCCCGGAATTCCGGGAAAAAACGGGAAAAAAAACGGGAATTTTAGCAAAAAAAATGGAGTTTTTAGGTCAAAAAACGGAGATTTTAGGTCAAAAAATGGAGTTTTTATGGGAAAAAATTGGGATTTTTAGGGAATTTTAGGGAATTTTTTGGGATTTGGGATCCAAAACAGAATTGGGATCCATCGGGATCAGGTTCTGGATCCCTTCCACTGGAAAATCCTGGGATTCTGGGGAAAAAATGGGAATTTTAGCAAAAAAAATGGAGTTTTTAGGTCAAAAAATGGAGTTTTTAGGAGAAAAAATGGAGTTTTTATGGGAAAAAATTGGGATTTTTAGGGAATTTTAGGGAATTTTTTGGGATTTGGGATCCAAAAGAGAGGTTCTGGATCCCATCCACTGGAAAATCCTGGAATTCTGGGGAAAAAATGGGAATTTTAGGGGAAAAAATGGAGTTTTTAGGGGGATAAATGGGAATTTTTTGGGATCTGGGATCCAAAAGAGAATTGGGATCCATCGGGATCAGGTTCTGGATCCCTTCCACTGGAAAATTCTGGAATTCTGGGAAAAAACGGGGAAAAAATGGGAATTTTAGCCAAAAAAATGGAGTTTTTAGGTCAAAAATTGGGATTTTTAGGGCAATTTGGGATTTTTTAGGGAATTTTTGGGATCTGGGATTCCAGGATTTGGGATCCATGGGGATCAGGTTCCGAGCCTCACCCACTGCGGAATTCCAGGAAAAAATGGGAATTTTGGGGGAAAAATGGGAATTTTAGCAAAAAAAATGGAGTTTTTAGGTCAAAAAACGGAGATTTTAGGTCAAAAAATGGAGTTTTTATGGGAAAAAATTGGGATTTTTAGGGAATTTTAGGGAATTTTTTGGGATTTGGGATCCAAAAGAGAATTGGGATCCATCGGGATCAGGTTCTGGATCCCTTCCACTGGAAAATTCTGGAATTCTGGGGAAAAAATGGGAATTTTAGCAAAGAAAATGGAGTTTTTAGGACAAAAATGGGATTTTTAGGGCATTTTTGGGATTTTTGAAGGAATTTTTGGGATCTGGGATTCCAGGATTTGGGATCCATCGGGATCAGGTTCCGGGCCTCGCCCACTGCAGAAT